GACCGCGCGAGGACATCCAGAAGGTCTTCAACCTCTTCGACGACGACCAGACCGGCCACATCACGCTCCGCAACTTGAAACGCGTCGCCAAGGAGCTCGGCGAGACCATGTCCGACGCGGAGCTCATGGAGATGATCGAGCGCGCCGACACGGACCAGGACGGCGAGATCTCGCCCGACGAGTTCTACGGCATCATGACCAAGAAGACGTTCACGTAGAGGCGGTCGCCAACCCAGAGAGCAGCGCCCGGGCGACCAGAGGTGGCGACTCGCGTGATCTCTAACCCAATATACTGTTTCCCGGGCCGGTCGACGCGCGGCGCTCGCGCGAAGGAGCGCGGGGCTCGTGCGAAGGAGCGGCGCTCGCGCGAAGGAGCGCGGGGCGCCGAAACTGGACCGCCGGACGGCCGAAAGCGCCGCGCCGCGTGAGTGAGACGGCGCAGCCGCCTCGTACGTGTCTAGGCGCGCGTCATCTATTTTGAAGGGGGCTTGAACGGCAGCTTGAACGCAGAATCGGCGAACACGAAGGTTGGGCCTCCACTGCCGCCGCCCCTGCGCGCGCTTATGCGCCTGGCCCTGGCGACCAGCCTGGCGACGCTGCGCCGCTGCGTCGCCATGAGCGCGGCGCCGAAGACGAAGGTCGTCGTCCTCGCCGGCCCCACGGCCGTGGGCAAGTCGGCGGCGGCGCTCGAGCTCTGCCGGTCCCTCGGCGGCGAGATCGTGTCCGCGGACAGCGTGCAGCTCTACCGGGGCCTGGACATCGGGGCGAACAAGCCGTCGGCGGCGGATATGGCCGCCGTGCGCCACCACCTCGTCGACGCGGGCGACCCGGCCGCGCCGTGGTCCGCGGGCGAGTGGTGCCGCGCGGCCGTCGCGGCCGTCGACGACGTCGCGGCGCGCGGCGGGGTGCCCGTCGTCGTCGGCGGCACGATGATGTACGCGCGGTGGCTCGTGCGCGGCGCGCCGGACGCGCCGCCGGCGTCGGCCGCATCAGCGGCGGCCGCGGCCGCGCTCCTCGCGCCCCACGAGGCCGCGGGCGACTGGGCCGGCGCGGTCGCGGCCGTCGCCGCCGAGGGCGAAACCTTCGCGGCGCGCGCGGCGGCGCTGAGCGCCAACGACTGGTACCGCCTCGCGCGCGCCGTCGAGATCGAGCTCGACGGCGGCGCCGGCGGCCGGCCGCCGCGCGCGCCGCCGCTCGGCGCCTACGACGTCCGCTGCGCGTTCCTCGCGCCCGGCGACCGGGCGGCCCTCTTCCACGGCATCGACGCGCGCTGCGACGCCATGCTCGCGCGCGGCCTCCTCGGGGAGGTCGCGGCCCTCCGGGCCGCGGGCCGGCTCCCCGAGACGTCGACGGCCGCGCGCGCGATCGGCTACCGGCAGGCGCTCGACTACCTCGTGGGCCGCCGCGACGACGCGGGCGACGGCGCGCTGGACGCCGGCGCGCGCCGGGACGCCTACGTCGACTTCTGCCGCAAATTCCGCACCGCGAGCCGCAACTACGCGGCGGAGCAGATGAAGTGGTACCGCCGCGACGCCGACTTCGCCGTCGTCCCCGCGGGCGACGGCGCCGCGCTCGCGGCGCTCTTCGCCGGCGACCGCGCGGACTACGAGGCGCGGCGCGCGGGCGACGGCGCCGCGCGCGACTCCCTCGCCGCGGACAAGAAGGTCATGAAGACCTTCGCGTCGAAGCCCTGCGCCGCCGCCGCGGACCCCGCGGCGCTCGCGGCCCACCTCGCCGCCGCCGACGCCGCCGTCGCCGTGCTGCGCGCGGCCGGGGGCCGCGGCGACGGCGCGCGCGACGACGACACGGTCCGCCTCGCGGCGCTCAAGCGGCAGAAGCGCGGGGGGGGGGCGGCGTAAGGCGTACCTTTGGGGAGTGCAACGCAGACCTGAAACGCCATCAAAGCTCGGGGCAGCTCTGCCGACGAGCATGAAGGATGCCATGGGCATGGCGGACCGGGCGCTCGTGGCGGCGGAGGCCGTGGCGGCCAAGGAGGCGGAGCTGTCGCCGCCCCTGGACGCGTCGTCGCCGGAGTGGATGGCCGACGGCAGCTCGGCGACCTGTATGGTCTGCGAGCGGGCCTTCAACGGCGTGACCGTGCGGCGGCACCACTGCCGGTCCTGCGGGAAGCTCGTCTGCGGGCCCTGCAGCCGGAAGACGGTGATGCGCCTCGGCGGCCCCGCGCGGTGCTGCAACGCCTGCGCGTGGCGCCTCGGCGCGGGCCGCGGGCCCGCGGCGTTCCTCGGCTCCGCGCGGCGGCGGCGGAGCGACAGCCACGCGAGCCGCCTGCGCGCGGCGACGATCGAGGAGAACCAGCGCTGGGCCGGGAGCTGGTCCGGGAACCACCTGCTGCCGCTGGACCCCTTCCGCTACGTCGGCCTCGGCGACTCGCGCCGCGCGGCGTCCCGCGGCCGGGGTACGACCGTCGGGCGCGCTCGACCGGGGACACCGACGAACCTTCGCACGCGGTAGGTTCCGCCGCTTCCCCGCGGACGCGCCGCCGCCGGGCCGCGGCGGCGCCTGGGCCGGCGACTGGGAGCTCGAGCGCGACGGCGACCGCTGCGACGAGCACGGCTGGTCCTACGGCGTCGACTTCTCCGAGTTCGCGCTCCGGGGGCTCACGCGGCCCGCGGCGCGGCCGCTCACGTACGTGCGGCGGCGCCGCTGGGTGCGGTCGTGGCTCACGGGCCTCGGGGGCCGGCCCTCGGTCCGCGCGCGCGACGCGCGGCGGTCCGCGCGCCGCGCGCCGTCGGACGCGCGCGCCGCCGCGGACGCGGCGACGCCGGCCGTCGACGTCGACGAGGCGCTGCTCCGGGGCGGCCCGGGCGCCGCGGACCCCGAGGCGCGCCACGTGGAGATTCTGGACGGCGAGTGCGGCGCCGGCGCCGACGCGTGCGCGGCCTACGCGCGCCTCGCGACGCGGCCCGTCGCGCTCGAGGTCGCGGGCGAGGACGGCGAGGAGGAGCGCGACCTCTACGTGCGCACGCGCGCGCGGTCGCCGCGCGACGACGGGCCCGGCTGGCTCGCGACGGCCTGGCGCCGCACGGCCGTCGTCCGCCGCGCGCGCGCCGACGAGCGGCTCCGGCTGAGCGACGGCGCGGCGGCCGTCGCCGTCGCGAACCCGCGGTCCCTCGTCGACGTCCACGTCTGCGACGCGGAGACGGACGGCGTCGTCGCCGAGGCGATCCTGACGCTCTTCGAGCTCGACGCGTCCATCGAGCGCGACGCCTGCGCGCGCGCCGTCGACGGCCTCGGCGCGCTGGTCTACGGCGACGAGGCCGCGGCGCCGGCGCCGGGCGCGCGCGCGCCCCGGCGGCGGTCCTGCGCGGTCCGGCCCGAGGACGCGGACCGCGTCGCCGTGCCGCTCCGGAGCACGCGCCACGGCCGCGAGGTCCACGGCGGTGTGGATTCCAACCACCGGTTCGGGACGTCCCCACCAAACTTCAGAACTCTCTATCTCGGTCACATCGAAGTCGATTCGGCTGATTTTTGGACGGATCGATTGCTCTTGTCAAGTTCTCGAAGCACAGCGAAAAAGTCTGGTCCAAACCGTCCGATTACGCTCACATTGGAGTCGAGTTGAAGATTTGAGTTGCGCGCAGGTCCACGGCGGCGAGCTCGTGCTCGACGCCGCGCTCGACGTCGACTACGCCGGGCTCGTGCTGCGGACGCGCGAGCGCGTGCCCATGGCGCCGGAGAACCTCGGCGAGTTCCAGACCGCGGCGATGCGCGAGCTCTTCCTGCGCTGCCAGGCGCTCGTGACGCCGGCGGTCGCGGCGCGCGACGCGCTCGTCGCCGTCGCGGACTGGGGCGCCGCGCCGCGGCGCACGGCGCTGACGCTCGCCGCGCTCCTCGCCGTGGAGTGGCACGTCGACGCGGCGAAGATCCTCGCCGTCTTCCCCCTCGCGGCCGTCGCGCTCCTCGCCGCGACGCTGCGGCGCCGCGCGAGTGGCGCGTGGGCGCGCGCGTGGGTCGAGCGCGACGAGGAGCGCCAGCTCATCTGCTGCGCGGGCCTGGGCGGGGGCGAGGGCGACGTCGAGGCGCGCCGCGAGCTCGCGCTGCTCCGCGTCGCCGCGCGCCGCTACGCGGCGCGCGGCCCGGCGCGGTCGCCGCGGCCGCGGCCGCCGCGCGTCGACGTGAGCTACGCGCCCGAGGCCCGGGGCGTGCGCGACGGCGCCTTCCGCTGCCGCGTCGCGACCCTCGACCTCGACGACGGCCGCCCGGCGACGGATCAGGACGCCGAGCGGCGGCCCCGGGGCGTCGACGACGCGGGCGCCGCGAACCCCTGGCTCGAGCGCACCAAGGCCTCGGGCCGCCGGGGGTCCCTGAGCTCGGCGCCGCGGCCCCGGCGCCGCGGCTCCGCGACGGAGCTGCTGAACGTCGCCGCGCGGACGGACGGCGCCGTCGAGGACGTCCTCGAGCCCTGGGTCGCGCGCGGCCGCGTCTTCCGGCGCGCGGCGCGCTACCCCGTGCTCCAGGACCTCGAGGCGGCGGGCAAGGCGCGGCGCGCCGTGCCCTGGAGCCGCGGGGAGGCGGCGCTCGTCTTCTCGCTGGCGGAGCCCGGGGGCGACGACGGCGCCGCGCGGCCGGCGCCGCCGCTCGGCGAGTGCCACGTGCGCGTCGCGGACCTGCTGGGCAGCGCCGCGTCCGAGGCCAACGGCGGGCCCCAGCCGCCCGTCGACGTCTGGCTGCCCGTGGGGCCGCCGGGCGCGACCGACGGCGGCTCGGACGCCGCGGACTCGGACTCGGACGGCGGCGGCGGCGCGCGCGGCCCCGTCGGCGACGTGCTCCTCACGCTCCAGGTCGCGCTCCCGTCGCGGAGCGACCGGCTCCGGCCCCTCACGGACGCGGACCGCGCGGAGCAGACGCTCATCGACAAGCTCGCCGCGCGCGTCCGCGCCGCGGACGGCGGCGACGGCGCGCGGCCGCGGGGCCTCATCGCCGAGTACCAGGCCCTCATCGGCGAGGCGCGGGCCCAGGTGCTCGAGTCGCACCGCCAGCTCCTGCGCTGCGTGTCCTTCGCGGAGTCGCTCGTGAACCTCGCGTGCTGGGCCGCGTGGAACTCAAGCGGCGGAACGCCCCGTCCGGCAACAACTTCAAACCGCCCGATCTCGGCCAAATCGACGTCGATTCGGCTGATTTTGGGACGCATCGCTCTCGTCGAGTTCTCGAAGCAGTGCCACGCAGGTGCTGGGTCCAGCCGCGGAAGACGGCGCTCGTCCTCGCCGCGACGGTCGCGGCGTCGGGCGCCGCGCTCCTGCTCCCGGTCCAGGCCGTGCTCATGGGGGGCACGGCGTCCTTCTTCTACGACGCCTGGATCAAGCACCTGCGGTCGCTGGGCGCGCGCGGCGAGAAGCGCGTCGACGAGCGGCTCTTCAACTTCGTGCGGAGCGTCCCGGCCCGCGCGCGCATCGACCGCCCGCGTCGGACCTCGACGCGTCGCGCCGCGCGCAGGTGCCCGACGCCGCGGACCTCGCCGCGTACTTCGCGCCGCGGACGCGCCGCTTCCTCGACGCGACGCCCGGCGCGCGGTCGTCGCACGCGCGGCTCCAGAAGTTCACGGAGCGCTTCGCCGCGGTCATCTACAAGACGTCGGGCAACTTCTTCAAGCTCTGGCAGCGGCGCTACGTCGTCGTCACCGACGACCGGCGCCTCTACTGGTGGCTGAGCGCCGAGGACACGCGCGACGACCTCCCGCCCAAGGGCGCGCGCTACCTCGCGCCGCCCGAGCAGCAGCGCGCGGCCTTCGCCGACGGCGCCAAGGACGCGCCGCGCGGCGCGCCGCGGACGGGGCGCGTCGTGCCGTACCTCGCGGCGGACCACTTCGGCGCCAAGCCCGCGCTCCACTTCCTCTGCGCGACGTCGGAGGACGAGGCCGAGCGCCTCCGCGTCGCCCTCTGCCAGGCCGACGACGGCGACGCCGCGACGCCGCGGACGCCGCGGACGCCCGGGTAGCTCCAGCGGGCTTCGTTTTACATTAGACACCTTTGGTCCCCAGTCATCCAGCGGCCAGTTGAATCTGAAAGCGCTACAAGCCCCGGGAGCGCTCGGAGGCTCGGGCGTCCGCCGGCGCCGCTAGGCCAGGTAGTTATAGACGCCCGCGTCGCGCGGGTCGCGCTCGAGGTACTCCCGCTCGATGAGGCTCTCGACGCGCGCCTTGACGTCCGCCGTCGACGCGGGCCGCTTGAGCTGGGCGAAGACGTCGCCGAGGAGCGCGGCGTGGCTCAGCGTCTTGCGCGCCTTCATGACGCGGACGATCGTCGCGTCGACGGCGTACTGGCGGTCCTCGCGCGCGGCCTTGGCCTCGACGTCGCCCGCGCCGCCGTCCGCGCCCGACGGCGCCGCGGGCGCGGGCAGCCGCACGCGGCCCCGGCCCGGGAAGGCCGCGTTCGCGGCGTAGGCGCCGCCGCCGTCCGCGGCGACGACGTTCGCGGCCGCGAGCGACGCGAGCGCGCGCTCCGCGTCGCCCGGGTCGAGGCCCGCCGCGGCCGCGGCGGCGCCCGCGGACAGCGCCGCGCCGCCGTTGAGGGCGACGAGGAGCAGGGCCTGGGCGAGCGTCGCGTCGAGCGTCGCGACGCAGTCGCCGAAGCGCGCCTCGACGTCCGCGCGGCCGAGGTCGGGCCGCCACGCGAGCCGCCGGCCCTTGCGCTCCGCGACGTAGGACGCCTCGAAGGCCCGCTCCATTTCCGCCAGCGCCGGCGGCGGCGCGAGCGCGCACGGCGGCGCCGGGGGCCAGTAGCCCGCCGTGAGGACGAGGGGCGCGAGCTCGGCGGCGCCGGCCGCGGCACCGCCGGGCCCGGCGCCGCTTTCGGCCGCGGCCGCGGCGTCCTTGCACATGCCCTCGAGCTTGGCGACGTAGGACGCGCCGCACTCGGCCTCGAGCGTCGCGACGAGCGCCCGCTCCGCCGCGAGCGCGCGCGCGAGGTCCGCGCCGCCGCCGAAGACGCCGTCGAGGAGCCGATTCGCGGCGAGGCCGCGGTGCCGGCTTTCGAAGGCGTCCTTGGCCCGCGACAGGCGGAAGCAGGCCAGGGCGCCCTCGAAGCGGGCCCCCCCGACGCCGCCGGACCGCAGCTCGCCGTCGAGCGCCGCGGCGACCGCGCGCGCGAACCGCGCGGCGACGGCCTCGCCGTTCACCGCCTCCTCGCACGCGCCGCGGACCGCGCGGCCCGCCCAGTCGCGCTCCTCGCGCTCCCGGCGCCGCAACGCCTTCATCGCGTCCAGGGCCTCGATGCCCTCGAGCACGTCGGCCCACGGGTCGCCGGGCGCGTAGTCCGGCGTTTCCTCCTCGACGGCGAACGCGGCGCCGGCCGCGGCCTCGAGCCGCGACCGGAGGTCGAGGACCGCGCCCAGCGCGTCGCCGGGCGCCGCGACGCACTCGCCGAAGCGCGCCGCCGCGTGGGCCGCGAGCGCGCGCTTCGCCGCGCCGACGTCGCCGCCGCGGCGCAGGAGGGCGAAGAGCGCGGCCGCGGCGCCGGGGCCCTCGGGGCCGACGGCCGCGTCGAGCAGCGGCGCGAGGCCCCGCGCGACGACGCCCGCCGCGTGGGGGGCGACGAGCTCCCGCTCGACGACGGCGACGAGCTTGGGCCCCGTCTCCGGCGCGACGGTCCCGCGGTCCGCGTCCGCGGCGTCGCGCGCGGTTCGCAGCGCGCGCTCCGCGGCGGCGACGAACGCGCGCGCGTCCGCGCCGCCGTCGCCGCCGCCGCGGCGCGCGAGGCGCGCGCCCTCGGCGGCGTAGAAGTCCGCGGCGTCGCGCAGGAGCCGGTCCTCGAGCCGCGGCGCGGCCGCCGCGCCGTCGTCGTCGCGCTCGTAGCGGCCCATGGCGCTGAGCGCGCGGCAGCACGCGCCGCAGGCCGCCGCCGCCGGGTCCGCGGCGGCGTCCGTCTCGGCCGCGGCGCGCGCGCGCGCGCAGCGGTCCGCGCACGCGTCCTCGACGGCCTCGACGAGGCCCGGCCGCCGCGCGAGCCCGTCGCGCGCGGCCTCGACGCCGACGCGCCAGAGGCTCGCGACGCCGAGATGCTTGTGCCGCGCGCAGTGGTCCTGCTCGAGGTACTGCAGCAGGCCCACGCACAGGTAGAGCTGCTTGCTCCAGAAGGCCCACGCGCTCGCGACGGCGACGAGCAGCGCGTCGCCGCCGGCCGCGGCCGCGGCCGCGGCCGCGACGCGGCCGGCCCAGGCCTCGCCGAGCGCCTGGAGCTCCGGCACGCAGACGGCGTAGAGCTGCTCCTGCCAGCGCTCGATGAAGCAGCAGTCCCGGACGATGTTGTACGTCTCCGTCTTCGACGGCAGCTCCGGGTCCACGTCGTCGCAGAGCGCCTCGTCGAAGACGCAGGCGAGGCGCCGGCGCAGCAGCGCCCAGGTCTCGTCGAACGTCTTCAGCCGGAACACGTTCATGGCGCGCGCGACAAGGGCGAGGCGGAGCCGCGACGCAGTGCCACAGACCTCGACCAGAGGTTCAATTCAGAGACGCGGCTGTCGTTGTGCGGCGCTCGTGGCGTCGATGGCGCGCGACGAGGGCGAGAGGCGGAGCTCGAGAGGGAGTTCAACATGTTCAACTTAGATGTTCAATAAAAAGTGCCCGACCTTCCGCTGCGCGCTGGGGCAGCGTTTGCGGCGCTCTTGTGGCCGCGCCCGCGGCCATGAGCGCGCCGCCGCCGCCCGGCTCGAGCGACGGCGGCGGGTCGCAGGCGTCGAAGAAGGGCGCCGTGGAAGGGCTCGCGGCGCGGCCGCCGCCCGGCGCGCCGTCGCGCGGCCGGCCCAAGCCCGGGAAGAAGAAGAAGAAGAAGCACGCGAGCGGCGACAACGTCTTCGCCGCCGTCGGCCGGCGGCCGCTGCCGCGGCGCGGCGACGCGCCGTCGGAGCCGTCGGTGCCCGCGTCGATCCGCGAGAGCGAGAGCGACGCGAACGCGAGCGACGCGCGGAGCGTGAGCAGCGAGGAGTCGGCGCGCGTCGAGCTCAAGCCCTTCGGGTCCGCGAGCGTCGCGTCCAAGGAGGAGCAGGCATTCGAGGCCCGGCGGCGCGCCGCGCCCGAGCCGCAGCCGAGCGTCGACTCGTCGCAGGAGGAGCGGGACGCGCGGCGCGCGGAGCACGCGGAGGAGGGCCACCGGTCCGGCGGCGTCTGGGCGCCGCGGCGCGGCCGCGGCGGCCTCGACGCGTCGCAGAAGGCGCAGCTCGGCGCCATCGCCGCCGGCGACGAGGCCGAGGAGCACGGCAAGGACTTCCTCGTGGACACGGGCGACGACGACGGCGTCGTGCTCCAGCCGAAAGACCTCGAGGCCGCGCTCCACCCGTCGCGCGAGTCGGACCTCATGGACCCGGACTCGCCGCTCCGCGGGTCCGCCGACGCGCCGCCGGGCCCGCCGCCGCCGGTCCTGAAGCTCGACGACGACGGCGGGAGCCTGCTGACGGCGGAGGAGTACGAGGGGTCGTCCTTCGAGGAGGACGTCGCCGAGGCGCCGTCGGAGCAGACCGTGTCCGACCGCATCAAGGACGAGGCGCGCGCGAAGCAGGCCGAGGCCGACGAGTGCGCGAAGCACGCCGGCGAGGTCGGCCAGTTCGTCCTCGAGAAGCGCGAGGAGCTCGAGGTCGAGGTCTGCGTCGTTAGCGCGCGGGGCCTCCGCGCCGCGGACATCGGCCTGCTCAAGAAGGGCAAGTCGGACCCCTACGTGACGGGCTTCCTCGCGAAGCGCGACGCCAAGGACGAGAAGTTCGGCGCGACGTCCGTCAAGGGCCAGACCCTCGACCCCGTCTGGGGCCCGGACTGTCTGAATTTCACGCTCGACCTCAAGGACGAGTCGTTCGAGGGCGTCAAGCTGTCCGTCTTCGACCAGGACATCGTCGGCTTCGACGACCCCCTGGGCCTCGTGCTGCTGAGCAAGGACGAGCTCCTCGAGCCAAGAATAAGACCCTTCGAGAAGGAGCTCCGGCCCCACCCGAAGAGCTCCGCGGAGCTCCAGAAGAAGACGACGGGCTTCCTCACGGTCCGCGTGCACCTCCGCGCGCGCGTGGGCATCTTCGTCGACAGCGCGCGCCACCTCCACAGCGCCGACGGCGCCATGGGCGCGTCGGACCCCTACGCCGTCGCCAAGTGGCTCGGCCACCGCGCGCGGAAGCTCACGCGGACGAAGACGCGCGACGAGACGCTGAGCCCGACGTGGAACCACGGCTTCATCGTCGCGATCCCCCTCCTCATGCCCGAGCACGGCGGCAAGCTCGAGGTCAGCGTCTGGGACGACGACTTCTTCGGGTCCGACGACTTCCTCGGCAAGGTCGAGCTCGACGCGTCGTTCGTCATGCGCCAGCGGTCCATGGACAAGCTCACGCTCCCGCTCAAGGCGCGGAAGCGGGGCGAGCGGGTCCAGGGCACGATGACCCTGCGCGTCTGCGTCCCCGAGAAGATCCAGGAGCTCTGCGTCAACCTCACCGCGCACGCGCAGAACCGCGCGCGCCCGCGCGGACGTCGACCGCCGGTTCGGGACGTCCCGACCGAACTTTGAAATGCTCGAGCTCGGTCACATCGACGTCGATTCGGCTGATTTTTGGACGCATCGATGGCTCTCGTCGAGTTTGAGAAGCACGACGGACGTGCTTGTGTCGAAGCAACGCTCACGTTGACGTCGGGTGGACGATTCGAGTTCCGCGCAGGCGCGCTCACGCTCAACGAGATCCCCCGGTGCCACGTCCGCGTGAAAATTCTGTACGCGACGGGCCTGCGCAAGGCCGACTGCTGCGCGACGATCTCGGGGGACCCCTACGCCGTGCTCTTCCGCGAGGGCAAAAAGGTCGGGCGCACGCCCACGCGGAAGAAGTCGACGAACCCCGTCTGGGGCGACGACGGCAACACGTTCACGCTCCGGGACGTGCCGACGCGCGTGACGCGGCCCGGCGACCCGGACGAGCGGCCCCAGGCGAAGAAGGCCCGGGGCCTCTTCGGGCGCAAGCGGTCGAAGAAGCACGCGTGCGCGCTCAGGGCGTCGGACGACCTCGACGACGACGACGCGCCCGCGGACAGCGACGACGAGGACCGCAAGGAGGCGCCGGAGGACGTCGAGGACTCGGACGACGAGCAGACCCGGGAGATGCCCGGCGAGCGCGACGCCGAGTCGACGTCCGCGCTCGCGGAGGCCGCGCGCGCGCGGCGCGAGGACGCCGCGCGGCTCGGCGAGCCGTCCGTCGACGTCCGCGTGGAGCTCTTCGACGACGACCCCGTGGGCCGCGACTTCCTGGGCATGTCCCAGATCAGCTGGGGCCAGCTCATGACGCCCGGCGAGCACGTCCTGGGCCTCGAGGAC